GCCGGGGCTTAGATCCCCTCTATCTCAACAAGGCGGGGGGGTGAATCGGGATTTATACTGTACCGAGTAAATGCATATTTGAGGTGCGGAGCACAACATGGCTTCCCTCGGTTTCCGCTTACTCAGCTCTATCTACGAGATTGTGACAATAACTACACAGTTTTGACTAAGTAGGATAATGCTGCCAGAAATTGTGTGCCTACACTAAGAGCGCTGATTCTGATGATCATTTGGCCCAAGACCAGTAAGGAGAGTACTGTACTGTGTTCTCGGAAGTGGGTGGCTCTGATTTCACAGCAGTGAGAGTACAATTAAGGCTTCATTACGAGAGGAACATTTCAGCCTGCCCTTCAGTCATCCAGTTACTCTAGCCTAGTCATATGTGGGCACCAAGTTACGCCGTCAGTTGACAACCTTCTAAGCCCCGAATCTCAGCGTCTCATGACACGTTAAATCGTGTCAATTGTTATTATTATCTTGAGGAGTGATGGGCTGGTTGGCCGTGCAGGTGCATTCCTCCGTGTCGGCCTCACTTTTGCTCTCTTTGTGCTCCAACAGTAGGTGTCCTAACTCAAGAAATCCAGGGATTTCTACTAGAAAATCCCTGTTACGCAAACCAAACTGCGGCCCCCAACGTCTTGCAGCAATAAAGTAACGGTATTTCTTCAAAATAGAGCATATTGTGATTTAGCAAGTAATATTAGGTTGTTTAGAAATACCACCTCTTTCAGCAAAACGGAAAATTCCCAAAAGGGAAAATCGGACGTACTAGGTAAACTTGAGTTTTATATGTAGAGGAAGCCTGTTCATGCAATAAGCGAACGAATCAAGCGGAAAAAATATAATTACTTTGGAAAATAAGCGTTTTTTAATTTTCCGATACGTATGCTTTCATATTGCAAGCAATGTAATGTAGTGTAATGTTACCGAACAGTCCAAATGTCAAGTATGTATTCCAACACGGTTTCACGAGCATTGCTGGTTGTTTCTTCCGTTTATACAGTACTTGAGTTACGTTGGACTACGGCTACCAGATTTTCGCTTGATTGGACCGATTGGGAAGTCACAAGACTAAGATATTCAGTAAGCTCACGTGCAGACATGCCGACCAGTGAAAAATACATTTAAATGGAATTGTCAGGTGCAATCGTAAACGTACCATTTTTTGTACACTAAGATAAATTTTCATCCGCCACCTTTCTTTGTAACTATTTTGCGATTTCAATTACGATGAGGTCCAGGTCATTCTTTAAATGTTGATTAACACTTTCCGATTTTCACTGGTTTCAGTCGATTGGCCATAAATAAGAATTATATTCTACTTGCTTACCAATACCTTAAAAATAAGATATATTTCTTAAAAGCATTCACATAAATAACGAGTTTTCAAACATTCTTTCTTACGCAGCCGTCTGTTGGGGTCATGGTTTTAGAATCAGCCAAACATAAAAACTCATTGACAGGAAGAATGAACGTGCACAACAAACGTTCTGAATGAATATATCTAAGATTAATTAAAAAGCTTTCGATAAAAAGTTACCTCTAGAAAAGGTGCTTTATTTTGATATTTCGGATGTTCGTATATATGTATACTTGTTTACGGTCGTTATTTTCGGTGGAGCGAAACAAGTAACAGCCTTATAAGCTTGTTGCTTAATTTTAGGGCAACAAATTTGGCAGACATGTGAAATAGAACTTTTAACCTAAATTCGGTTTTCTTTTCTCGACAATAATGCGTAATCTCATAACTGCACTTTCCTCAATTTAAAGAACGCAAAACAAAATTGCCTGTTCTCTGAACACATATTATTAAAAGGTTTTTGATTTTTATCAATGTTCTTTTATACCAAAACACGCACAAACGAGAAGTTTATTCCGCAGCGTTTTAAAGCGTGGGAAATTCCTTAGATATCAAAAAACGTTGGATTTGTCCCCATTCCGCCCCTATTTGCCCCAGGATACTGATCTGAACTTAACTCTTTCTTAGTAAACAGCATTTTTCGCCTCAGGTCAACTCAATGAAAAATAAATAAATCACCTCAGATATGCGCCAAATCCCCCGTTCAAATTTTGGCCTTCTCATTTCATCAAATATATCATCAACTGTATGTATCAGTCGACCGTCCGAGCCAACCTAACGGCTGATTATACGATTTGATGCAGTATTTGACGAAGCTATGCATCCCGTCTACTTGTACCGCGCATTGTATGTAACAGCATAACTCAAGTAACATGATTTCAACTTATGTTAGATCCGTATATTCTGGCATGTGCCTTTGCATCGCCCATGCTGGCGTGGTCGAGCGATAATACGCTGATTGCTGCCTGTCCTACAAGCGGCTCCTGTTCTGGTGTCCTATCGGAGGGGCCACATAAACCATCCATACGCTTACATACTCTCTTTCAAAGCGCGAGGAATATCAATTCTCGTGAGACGCTACCTGCAGAGGTTTTCCGCATCAAAGCAGCCCTACTTAACTGTGGCTATCCTGCACGTTTCATCCAAAAGTATAACAATCCTCTACGGCCAAAATCACCGGAACAGGCAGTTTAAAAAAAAACCGGGATTATATCCTGACGCTTTCAGGGTGATTATATTTCAAACACAATCAAGCGACGGTTGTGTTGTACCAGAGAAAGGACGTACAGCGCAGCTGAACTTGTCTTCATCAGTCCTACTGGAAGCCTTCCGATAAAAGGAGTAAACGATGTCTTGCCATCGCACGCGGATGCAAGTACACTGGGTGTACGCAAAGGCAATTGACAGCCAGTGCCACTGACATGTGCCTAATTGGCTTTTCAAGCAAGAAGACAGAGTACCACCATCCTCGATTACTAAACACCCGCTAGACAGTGGTCACTCTGTTGACCTCAAGACAGCTTTTCGAGTACTTGTTCGGGCACAAACAAATCGGACCCTATGCTACTTGGAAGCAGCTGGACCACGTGGTCAATCTTCAATCACCTTTTTAATTGGGCAGCTAGTTTAAATCACGACCTGGCTTGCGTCAACTTCCGCTCCCCCATTTTATCCCCTATAGGCTGATTTAATGTAGTGTCCTTTAGCTGATCATTATTTACACGGAACTATGACCCCTACTGTTGTGCAGTGACAGTCTGTGAAAAGTTTAACTGCTGTATGCTTCTAACCGTTATCTGCCTCAAGTTTGTTGAATTCAGTAAATCCTGATGACCACGTCTGTTTTAAATTATCTAAAAGTGTGAGTTGGGTATCCCTACTATTGTGCCATAAATTAGTAATGTGCAATAGAGAAACCCCGAGTTAACTGCGTTGCCTAGTTAACTTTCGTAGTGAACAAATTGTGTGATTATATTAAGTTACTGACTATATTACTTAGGGAAGTTGGATTGCAATCGGCCTGCTTTTGGTAACTCTTCATATAGTAGACTTGTGATTAATTTCCATGACATCTCTGTAGGACCGATGTCTCAAGTGACTGGCTTCTTTTATTTACATAAAAGCCACCTTGCAGCTGATCCGCAGAAAAAAAAACTGAGCCGGTCAAACGACTTTTAGTTAACGTTAAAATAAAATAATGTTTAAGGTGCAAATTACTTTTACATTGCGCAGTAATTCTGAAGTGGCCAATGTGTTGAAGCAACAGGCTCTAAAAAGTCATAATCTTAACATTTATTACTTTCATCCGTAACTGTCATGCTCTTTTTTTTCACTTTGTCGTCAGACCTGCAGTAGATGTGCAAAAAACAGTCAGCGTTAAAGCGTGCCTAACAAACGGTTCTGCAATTGACTAGGTTTTCCGTCACTCTCGATCATTTGCAGCAAGTCCCCCGGCTGAGATTGTCTATGCTCTTGAGTAGTTTGTAATGGATATACCGATTGATATGTCTCATTTGAGTACATTTTCTTCATGAAACATTGATCTTTACTTATTAAAAATCTATCAGCGCTATCCCCTATCTATTGGTTAGAGGCCTATTAGGTTCGGTGCTCTGCGCCCTTTACCAAAATTATTGTTCATCTATGCATATAGGTGCATGTCATCTGTTTTAGCTGCAATTACCTACACCACAGGCGTTATGAGTGATCAGATGTAAAGTAACTCTACGGTGTTCTAGTGGCCAAATCTACGAAGAACACGAGTAATTGATTGGCCAGCTTGTGAGCCACGAGCGTCTGACGCCCTTCCAGTTGTTTTTTTTTTAATAATTTCCTATTTCTGTTACTCTAAGAAGCACAAATGAGTCAACCACGTATTCCTTTCTTTGAACTATTACCAGCTTTGTTTGGGGAAACGCAAATATTTCGCTTTTTACCACACGAATCTTCCTTTGTTGGTGCTAATCGAATTAGTCTCTACATTTACACAGCCATCGATAGAGCAATTAAGGCCCAATCTCCTTCCTACCGAAAGTCTTTCTACCTTCGCCAATGAGTTGGGGACTTTTGGCAAGGCCATTGAGGATATGGGTCTATCCGAATACAAAGTGCTTTTGTCAGCTGCTCAGGTTATTAAGGAAGCGATTCCCGAAATTCAATCAGTTGTCGTGAACGTCTCACAACTTCGAATGGCATTTGAAAATGTCCAAAATCGAAGGAATTTGACAGAGTCCATTAACGCTCTCATGGCAGAACTAGAGGAAGTCAAGAAGGTGAGTTGTGCCTTTTCTCTGCATCCATTTTTGTAATAACTAATGACGTCCTGAACCTATACCACACGATAAGATGAAACGGCAGTTTTTGACACTTGTCCGAACAGAATGATCGAATGACTTTCTTTTGTCAATGGTAATAATAACGAATTGTTTTGTCTGACATCCATTAGGGTTTTTCAATTGTCAGTAAAAGTAAAAATACATTTTCCAGTGTTCACAGTGTTCATTTTGTGTTTATAATTGGCAGTCCGAAATAAAGAACGGTCAGTGAACAGGAAGAACACACACTGGATATCGGAATGAACAAAAATAAATGAGTTTTTTTTAATTTTTAAGGAGAAAAAATGTCGATTATGGTGAGATAAATATGCATGCGGACAAGACCGTCTTGCATGTCAGGGTATACAGGGGTTTGAAAAGTGCCACATCAAAAGAGAATTCCTCAACCTGATGAGGTTATCCGCTGGATCTGCGATCAAAATCTTTTGGGGATGACAACAGAAATGGCCGTCAAGGTCGCGATGCAGAAGGAACCAACCAGGATCGTTTACAGTTTGCTTAGAGTGGAAGTAAGGAGAGGCCATTAAAGGCCGCGGGAATTATCGAAGCCAGGAAAGATGTGACCATGTGACCTACATACGTACTTAACATATCAATGCACCTAAAATAAATTACTACGCCATTACGATAGAGGGAGTAGGAAATTGATCAGCTTTCATGGATACATCGATTGCGTACGATTTCATCAGTCTAGTTTTAGCAAGTTTGCCTTAGGAGTCAAGACCTGATCATCATAAATTGATCCGCTCGGTGTGTACAGCTGTAATTTATAGACTAGGAGAGAGAGAGAGAGAGAGCGTACAAGCATTCGCCTTACATGCCAAGATTTGGTGCCCTTATCCAGCGGCAATTTTGTGGTGAGACACCTTCATACCAGGTAGAGAAGAAGAACCACAGCCTCTTTTTTGAGAAAGCAAATGAAGCCTTTTTTGGAGGAATCTATCTCTGCCCGGCGTCCATAAAGAACACTTTTAAGTTGAGTTAAATATTTTCAAGCACCGAAATATAACTTTTGAAATTGGGCAAGACGAACCCTTCGTAGGCTAGTATGAAAGTGAGGCGAATGTTTGCATCCCAGGTGTGTGTATGGGAAGAGAAGAAGAACGCATTTCGATCACCGGAATCATGGTTCGAAAGCTCATACGAATAAAACCACGATTCCGGTGATCGACATGCGTTCTTCTTCTCTTCTCATACACACACCTGGGATGCAAACATTCGCCTCACTTTCATACCAGCCTACGAAGGGTTCGTCTTGCCTAATTTCAAAAAATATATTTCGGTGCTTGAAAATATTTAACTCAACTTAAAAGTGTTCTTTATGG